CCCTTCCCCCACCTCCTGCAAAAGCCAGGGATAGCCGCACAAAGCCTCCGCGGGGCAGCGGGATGAAGGCTCCCCGCTGCCCTGCGAAGGCTTCGCGTGAAGCTAGAACAGCTAGAGGGAGCACTGCGCAGCGCTCCTTCTAGCTGTTCTGGCTTCTGGGGTAGCCCACAAAGCCTCCACAGGGGAGCGGGATGAAGGCTCTCCTCTCCCCTGCAGAGGCTTCGCACGGCAAAGCTAGAACAGCTAGAGGGAGTGCTGCACAGAGCCTCCTGCCTGCATTCGCTCCATAAGATGCACACACATTTCCCCTTACTTTTTAGGAGCGGAAAAGTGTGTCTTATAGAGGGGAAAATACGGTAAATAGAGACAAGCTCATGGATATTGCCTCATGGTAAGCTGTGTAAGCTATATCAGTATCACACACATTTCTCCCATGGGGGAGAGATACTAACTGCCCTTTTCAAAGGCCCTAGAACATGCAAAAGTCACTTTATCATCCTCTAGCTGCCATGCATCATCTCCCCGCCCCATCAATTGTTTGTAGCCAATGGCCATTACACATTACAATACAATGCGCACACAAATCGCACAGCTGCAAAACAGAAAAAAAGCATACATCATCTGCAAAGCAGCACTTGGCAAGCCTATATTCAATTTATACATTTGGTTTTTTAAATCCCCTGCTTTTGGGTAGTAATTAAAAGGACTTAACATTGTTGTTCAAGTGGTATATCGAATGCATTAGTGTTGATCTTTAAGTGCATGCATTTATTGAAGGGTGGGGCGAAGGATTAGTTCTGTTTGTGTTAGTTTAATCCATTTGCATGTACGACAGCAACACTGTAGCTCAGAAGCAAAAAATAGGATCACCCTGTTAAGATGATGCACGGATTACTGGGTAACGCACAGTGATGTGCGATCTTTTGAAAATTTCAGGAGGAGGTTGGGGAAGGCATGATCTCGCAGGGGTGAGACAAAGGCAGCAGCCCTAAGAATTAACGTTAGCCAGAAGTAAAGTTCTACTCGAATACAATGAGCGTTACGTGGAAATAAACACAGCTACACTCCAGAAAGCAAAAAAAGGGGTTGCAGCTTTCTGCTGATACTGAGCAATGCTTATAGGCACAAGCTAATGTACAAGTTAAGGTACAAGATGCAAGTTAATGTATACTCTAAGCAGCTCAAAGCTTGGCTAGGGTATATGTGTGCATACATACACACACATGGCAAGAGGGAAGTAAAACAAAAATGGCTATCAATGCATTTCAAGATGCCTGATTCACATAGGAACGACGCTTCATATTCTACTTCAGAACAAACTTGGCTAAGGTGTACCCACCCCAATCCAATCCCCCTTGCTGCATCATCTCAACACTAGTTAAGAAGCGGTTCTGTCATAAAAGCAAGGAATTTCCTCATTAAATGTGATACATCATATAGATGCAATCTTCCATCAGTTCAGGGCTGCACTTCTTAAAGTGTTCTTATGTTCTTATAGTAACCCCTTCTTTCCCAAATTGTTGGGACAGAACAATATCAGATGTGTCGTGCAGCTGAAATATGGGGCTGGAGAAATAAGATCAAGTTACAGTTTGCATATTTGCCAGCATTTTTAGTGCTGGATGTTGCTCAGATCTGCATCCACCGTAGTTCCTCCAAGGAACCTGTTTTTGCAATCAGTTGCTATCACTAACTGAACAAATAATCTTGTAGCATCCCCAAAACTAGCAAATTCCTCTGTCTCATATAGCTTGCGAAGGCACATTTAATATTTAATGTATTTACGGAAATAATTTATACTTCTGGATGTTTATAGGTAAATGTTCCTCCCAGTTCTATTAAATTTAATAGGTTTTTGAAGCACACTTGGCACTTGAATATTGACTGTGAGTAAGGAGAAACTTACGTAGATAAAATGAAGTTGGTTATATTATTTATTATTAATAAAAAATTATACGTTTGTGTGAGTAACTTACTGATTTGCTTATATGCTATTAATATTTCTCATGTGCTGTATGAGGTACTTATGTGTGTCAGGATGTGTTTAAGCACAATACTAGTATTCACTTTAAAATGAATTATTTGTAAAGGGAGGGTTTTGTTTTTTTAAGACAGGAATAGTTGTACCAAAAAGACAGAAGATTGTGCCATTCAAAGATATCTGTAATGGTTCTAGGGGTTGCTTGTGCGTAAATCGGTGCCACACCTGGCTGGTTGCCTGAGTGAACCCTTTCTGTCTGGACAGCCACTCGCCCGTGGCTGTCTCAATCGCTGGCAGAATCCGTCAGTGGGCGTTTCTTGAACTTCTTCCAGCAAAGAAGCTCTTTGACGCCTAGTCTCCGCCTACTTTCCCTGCGCGGAAGCCTTCTGCGCAGGGAGGGTGTGGGCATCGGAGGACCCGTGCTCTCCCCGCTGGCCCCGGCGAGGAGTCTTGGAGCCACCTCGCCGATTCCCCCATCTGCCCCCTTTCTCCACTGGTGCTACGCTGATTTCCTTCCCCAGAAGATGTGCTGCTTCTCTCCCTCCTGGGACGCTCTCCGGAATCCCTCTGGAGCCCTCCCTCTCCCTCTGGCTCCGATGGCAGTTCCCTGACAATATCCAATATCCCTTCAGGCATTATAACACATACAGCACACATATAATGGGGGGGGGGAGTACATTAACCTCCAACCCCTCTGTCAGTGTCAATGTTGTCCTCCGTGGACCGGAGGACCTTCTGAAATGGAGAGCATCTCCTACTTTGGGGCTCTAATGTTCCAGGGTTCTAAAATACCGAGGGAAACAGACGGAGCCGGATCAAATCATACAGATCATGAAGTGCTTTGGGATGAGGCTGTCTGTTTTTACAAAGCAGCAAAGCTGGATCCAAATGAAATCTGATGGCCATTACATGTGCCTAGCTTCTATCTCCCCAGCAGCATCACCACTTATTTTAACCTTGGTTTCCAGCTGCACTATGTTGGGAGGCCAAAATACACTTAACTAAATAGGAGCATCCATATAAGGTGTTTAATCCTGGTTTAATGCAGATCATCAATGCCATATTGAAGGAGCAGGGCATTCAGGTGTTGTTTTTCGTGGGTCAGCCAGAAGGTCAATCAGCTTTTGGAATCCCTCCCAAGCTGTCTCGACCTGACTGCCACAAATTCTACATATATGAATAGGGTCACAAGTGATAATTGAGATGTAACTAGACAAGATTCATTGGGGGGGGTGCATTAATTTCTGCAGCGAGCAACCTAAAAACAAGGTCCACAACATATTGGTGCAGAGGAAGAAGGCAACATGGAAGATACACTAAAGGACGCAATGCAAAGATACCCAGAAGCTGAAGCTCAATCCAGATAAGGCTTGGGCACTATTAGTGGCTGGTTCTCTAGACCAGATGGATGAAGAAGAAGAAGAAGAAGAGTTTGGATTTGATATCCCGCCTTTCACTCCCTTTAAGGAGTCTCAAAGCGGCTAACATTCTCCTTTCCCTTCCTCCCCCACAACAAACACTCTGTGAGGTGAGTGGGGCTGAGAGACTTCAAGGAAGTGTGACTGGCCCAAGGTCACCCAGCAGCTGCATGTGGAGGAGCGGAGACGCGAACCCGGTTCCCCAGATTAGCAGACTACCGCTCTTAACCACTACACCAGGTTACCTGCTCTTGATGGGATTACACTCCCTCTGAAGGAGCAGGTACATAGCTTGTGGGTCCTCCTGGATCCTTTGCTGTCACTTGAGGCTCAGGTGGCCTCTGTGATGTGGAGTGCCTTTCATCAGCTTCAGCTGGTGGCCCAGCTATGCCCCTATCTGGACAGGGACAGCCTAATGTCTGTTGACTATGTTCTGGTAATATCCAGCTTAGTTTACTGCAACACATTATACTTGGGGCTGTCTCTGAAGATGGTTTGGAAACGTCAGTTGGTGCATAATTCGGTGGCCAGGTTACTCACCAAGGCAAGACAGTCTGAGCATATAATCTTAATCCTGGCCCAACTGTACTGGCTGCTAATTAGTTTCTGGCCCCAATTCAAAGTGCTGGTTTTGACCCATCAATCCTTATATGGCTAAAGACCACAATACCTCAAGGTACCACCTCTCCCCTCAGGAACTGCTCCCAGACTTTGCAAGCATCATCTGAGGCCCTTCTTCGTGTGCCTCCTCCACAAGAGATCTGGAGGGTGGCCACATGAGAATGGTCCTTTTCTGAAGTGGCTTCCCATTTGTGGAATGCTCTCCCCAGGGAAGCTCACCTGAAACACTCATTACATATTTTTAAACAAAGAAAATTCCTTCCAGTAGCACCTTAAAGACCAACTAAGTTAGTTCTTGGTATGAGCTTTCGTGTGCATGCACACTTCTTCAGATACATATTTTTAGGCACCAACAAAAATGGTTGGTTTGTGTTTGTTTTATTATGTATCTTGTGTTCTCATTTTGTATTTTTATGTTGTCAATTGCCCTATGATCTTCAGCTGAAATGTAATTAATTAATAAAAATAATAATATGTGTACTTATTTGGAAGTAAGTCCCATTGAACAAATGGGTCTTACATGCTTAGAATCCAGCTGCAAATTACTTTAACTTTTAATTAAATATAATTCCTACAGGTCTGATCAACCCATTTTATTATTATTGAAGCTATCACAATATACTTTTAGGAGTGTCATTGCTCTGAATCATGGGGGTTGAAACCTCCCCCCCCCCTAATATGATAGTTTTGTCTCACCAAGGTCTTCTTAATTTCCAGCTGAGGTTTGTAGAATGTGCCCATTCTACAAACCTTAGGCTTGGGCTTAGATGTATACAACAGGTGTGTGTGTGTGTTGTTGTTTTTAATCCACCCATTTATCCACGTTTGTTGATATTTAATGTCAAAGAACAGTGAGTTCTCCAGTTCCAAATGACTCTGATGCAATTCTGATAGCAGAACACTTTAGAAGTATGAAAGGTCCCTGCCCATCCAATTGAAATTACGCGGGGACATAACCAGGCTGTAGGCTACCTAGTACTACAAAAGGGTTAAATGAGCACACACACACCTCCCACACAGACACGCTTTTGCATTTCTGTCAAAGACCCACTCTCTAAGCAGCCACCCGTGGGGCATGGCGCTCCTTTCTAGCTGAGCTGCCTGCCTGCCACTTTCCACAAGGAAGAAGAAGAAGAAATTTGCTCTCAAAATACAAAGTTGTAATATATTTGAACAAGAGGTATAAGGGGACTGTTTGGTTTTGCAGAGGCTTAAAGAAAAACAAAAGAACTTTTCTCTCTTCGCCTATAAAACTAAAAGCTTTTATTTATTTTTTTAATCCTTCTGCTTGAAACATATGGAAAAGTCAGTTCGGTCCTATAAAAACAGGTTTCCCAGTTGTGTTTTTCATCTGCCAGCGAAGATCTCAAAAAGTCTGGGTCAGAGTGTTTCATCTGGATTTCTGCACAGAGAGAAAGTTGCCAGGATAGCATCTGTCTAAAGGTAAGTGCAGTAAAATGGTTGGGTTCCTCCCTCTCGATTTATTTTGCATTTATTTATTTATTTTCACTGCCAAGAATCTGTTTATAGGTTTGTAGGTTTATGGGGATGGTATTCTATTTTGGGTCAGCCTACAATATCTGTCTTTACCAGGCAAGAAGGCTTGGGGATCAATGCAATCTGTGACTGCTGTTTACCTTTAAAGTATGGAAAACCTAAAGTTCGTGTCGATTTAGAAGTTTGAGTATTTATGTTGACTTTATAAGATATGGTTTGAGCAAACAAACTGCCAAAGGAATATATCAGCACATAGTGAGAATGTTAATATACTGTTATTCTTATTGAGGTGACTGAGATGCAAAAGAATTTGGGAAGCATCATTCATTCATATTTGGACAGGTTGTTTTTTTATATATATGAACCATTTACTTCCCTGCTTCACATTTTATGAAGGCATCCTAAATCCTGAAGGCAACATAAATGCTATCGCTTTTGAGGTGTAGGACAGAATGTGATGCCACATTTTGTGGCTGATGAAAATTGCCTGTTCTTATGATACATCACTGACAAGGATCAGACTTACAAATTCAGATGTAGTGCAGTGATGCTACTACAGACTCAAGACATAAATATTAACCAGAATTCTAACAGTTAGTGGATTTGATCTACTGATCTTTAAAAAAAAAAAAAACCTGCTAAATAATAAACGCCGTTTCTTTGTTCTTCTGTATTTATGGCTTATTCTCTCTCCTACCACGGTTAGTGAATCAAATTTGCTAATTTATTGACTGTGTGTTACAGTTCCGTTTAAGGAGGCTCTCTCCCAAAATTGATACTGTTCTAAGAGCACCCCCTACCTACAGACACTTTGCTCTGCAGCTACAATGCTTGTCAGAAGTTGGCAGTTTTCCCCACTCTGACCCATACGCTGCTCTATTTTCTCTCTCTCTTAATCAATTAAAGCAATGGTCTTTCCAGATGACCAGTTTATGTTGTGACAAACATGCTGCCATTTGCTTCTTCATTATATAACATCCAGACATCACAAATTCCCAGCCCTCTGCCATAGAAAATGCAGCTCTTTTCCATGGCAAGTGGGACCGGTTGTGGTTGGAAGTGTTGCCTGGGATGTGTCTGCAGGAGTGCCTATTGAACAGTGCCTGTGACGTCACTCGTGCTAGGTAATAATAATAATAATAATAATAATAATAATAATAATTTATTTGTACCCCGTCCACTCTGGGCGGCTTCCAACAAAGATTAAAAATACTGTACATTAAAATGTCACACATTAAAAACTTCCCTAAACAGGGCTGCCTTCAGATGTCTTCTAAATGTCAGGTAGTTGTTTATCTCTTTGACATCTGATTTGAGGGCGTTCCACAGGGCGGGCGCCACTACCTAGAAGGCCCTCTGCCTGGTTCCCTGACGGCAACACACACAACCATAATTTAACCTTAACTCCAGTGCTCTTCTGTCTACCTTGGGACACATCCAGACAATTAGTTCAAAACATTCCCAAACCAAGTTCCATTCAAAGAAATGATGTAAAACCCAGGGCACCCAGTCTGCAAGGGAATGGGGCCCACAGGCTGAAAAATATTTAGCACCTCTAGGAACCAATAACAGCTCGGGACCAAAATACCTCAAGGACCTCCTCCCTCCATATAAACTTACCCAAACTCTGCAACCATCTTCTGAAGCCTTTCTTCATGTGCCTCTTCCATGAGAGGGTGACAACACAAGAACGGGCCTCTTCTGCAGTGGCTCCCTGTTTGTGGAATGCTCTCCCCAGGGAGGCTCAGTTGGTTCATCATACGCAAAGGTGCCAGGCAAACACATTCCTCTTTAACCAGGCCTTTGGCTGATTGACATCCAATGCCCTTTTAAAATGTGTTGGGGACAGGGGTGGGGTCTATTGGGCTGTTTTTGTTTGTATTTTTATCATGTATTTTGTGTTTTTATACAGTGGTACCTCAGGTTAAGTACTTAATTCGTTCCGGAGGTCCGTTGTTAACCTGAAACTGTTCTTAACCTGAAGCACCACTTTAGCTAATGGGGCCTCCTGCTGCTGCCGCGCCGCTGGAGCCCAATTTCTGTTCTTATCCTGAAGCAAAGTTCTTAACCTGAAGCACTATTTCTGGGTTAGTGGAGTGTGTAACCTGAAGCGTATGTAACCTGAAGCATATGTAACCCGAGGTACCACTGTATTGTGATCTTTTATTATAACCACCCTGAGACCTGCAGGTATAGGGAGGTATATACATTTAATCATCATCATCAGGGTATGAATATTGTTTTCCTTCTTTCAAAAGATTGGCATATTGCCCCACATTCAAATAATACCAAGGTGATGTACAATAAGGCAATTTCCTATAAACCAGTCTTTATATCATATGTGTGCTGTATATGTGTGTACGTGCCATACCCTCCAACATTTCTCCAATGAAAATAGGGACTTCCTAAAGAAAAGCGGGACATTCCAGGATCAAATCAGAAACTGGGACGGCTTCTCTAATTCAGGGACTGTCCCTGGAAAATAGGGACACTTGGAGGGTCTGGCATGCATATGCACACATACACACACACACACACACACACACACACAATAAAAACAACATGTCAAAACGGCATTAGTTAGAAACCATTCAATTGGGATCACAGGCCATGGAAAGCTTTAATAAATAGGTATGTTTGAACAGCTGGAGGAGGCATCACACAGTAGATGTCCTGCTGTATGTTTAGATATGAAACTCAACTCAAATAGGGTCTGGCTGAGCTATTTGTCATCTGTGATCTGTCGTTTCTCAATAGCATGGTATAGAATTTAAGAAATCTTCTCCAGCCTTGTTAATGTGTCCCCTGCTTGTTGCAGTGCTCACGATGTCTGGGTCCCAGGCTTGCCTGCCCCCAGTGCTCCTCTTGGCCATGTACTTCTGCCATTCAACAGAGGTAGCGCACAGCATACAGCAAAGCTTCAAGAGTGAGCTCCTCAACTTTTATCATACATTCATCCTCGCAGATGGCAAGGAAACCACAGTGCACCTCTTGGAAGATATACCCAAAAGGTAAAGGGAGCCTTATATATGCTTTCATTTCATCCGAATTCTTGCAGCCACACCACACCCTAAACCTCCTCTGGCTTGCAGGACATCTTCAGGAGAAGAAAAGGCTGAGGAGTAAACCCAGCACAAATCCAGAGTGGATATTCCCTAAGACGGTTGTATGGCGCCTTGAATGCCTCCTTCCAGTGACTCCTGCAGCCAAGCTGGTGCCAAACGTATTGCTCTGCTTTTCATTAGAAAAGGAAAGAGCCACTAACTGGGGGGGGGGGGTGTTGAGCACTTGTTTACAAAAATCTGCTAACCACACAGGGCGTAATCTAATGCACAACCCTGAAATTCCAGAGAGAGTACATCCTTTTGTTGCATCCGGGTAAAATATGAAATCTGCAACAAGCAACACACCCCATCTAAGATCAAAATTATACACTGTCGCTCTACAGCAGTCAGAAGAGCAAGCTTAAACAACTAACAAAATAGCTCCATTGTGTGCATACCCTGCAGAAATAAGTACTGTATTTTTCTGTGTATAAGACGACGCTTTTTGCTTTAAAAAAAGGCAAAAATTGGGTGTCGTCTTATACACAGATAGTTAATGCAGAGGGGGGACATGCGATTAATGGCAGCAGCAAGCGGGAGATTGGCAGCAGCGATTGGGTGGGTGATTGGTGGCTGCACCAGGGCCTGCTGGCAATTGGCTGTGGCTGCGGCAATTGGGAAAGCGACTGGCGGCTGTGGCAAGGTGGGCAGACAACTGGTGGCTGCGGTGAAGTGTGCAATTGGCAGTGGCTGTGGCAAGTGATTGGCAGTGGCAGGCAGGCGGGTGAGCGATTGCCAGAAGTGACCTCCCCCACCCCCCAAAAAACCCTAAACAACTTAATTTCTTAATTTTGGGTTAAAAAAATAGGGGTCTTCTTATATATGGGGGTGTCTTTTACACGGAAAAATATGGTACCACCACATTCCTTAGCAGCAGACTCCATCTCTTCCAGTTGGTGGGATGATGGACAAAGTTCTTCATTATTTATCTCCAGAAATGAAAGTGATCTGTGCTCTTTATGTATGCTTGCCTCAAGAATAGATAAGCAGACACACATCTGACAAAATGCTAGCTCTGTTTGTACTGGGGGTGAGGGAATCATTCCTGTGAATGCAGAACTTAAGGGAGCCAAATCTTAATTGGAGCCAAGTCTAGAGGGACGTATTTCTGAGGAATGCAGTGATGCCAAACACAAACCCTGCAAATGTTAGCTTCCTCAGTTATCTCACAGGAGCCACAGAAAACTGAGTGAGAGTTGGGAAAGAAAAACAAGCAGAGAGAAGAAACTGGCTTGCATGAGCCCCTAACAACTTATAATGTCCTGAAGGAAAGTTTGGCCGACTGGCTGCAATCCTCAACTGGAACCCTCCCATTGTGGGTTACAATGCAGGGATCACAGAGATCTCATTTGAAGAAATATATGGTTTTTTCATGATATTTCTATTATATATTGCTTCTACAAGTAACAGTATTATGCACCAGAATGTGAAGTTCTCTATTATCACCATTTTTGCAAGGAGGTTCTCTGCTCTGTCACCAGTAGTTCTCTGCTATTCCCCCGAGACACCAATTCATCACATTAGCACCTGTAAATCTGATGCATATTCATACATGAAAGCCAGCTGCTTCACTTCAGACACAGGCACTGCAGAGAATGGGAGAGGAGCAAGGCCATGTAAATGCTACCAGGTTACATAATGTATAGCATGACCGCAAGAGCACATAGAAGAACTCTCGGAGGGGCAGTAAAAGTGAAAAGAATAAATTGGGATAATTGGTTGTGGTTTTAAAATATGGCATCTATCCTCAGTTGAAGCAACGGGTTGAGTTTTAAAATATTTGTTCCAAATGGACTTACAAAATCCATTTTATAAGTATCCTTGCTAAAAACTGGGGCTCGCATTAAAAACAACACCTTATTAATCACATAGATATCACTCATCCAAAGCATTTGAAAACAAATTCTACCTTCACAAAGTCTGGATGTGAGGCATGCAACTACGTGATCAGATGATGTTACAAATCTCCCAGAGGGTCTCAGCAGTCACAAAATAAAAGACTTGTGCATGTGTGGCAGTAGTTTGCAAGAACCCCTCTACTGGGATTGTGGTTGCTGTGAGTTTTATGAAGTTGTCTGCAGATTTGAGCTGAGATGTTACCTGGTGGTCAGGTGAGTGGCACAGCCCCACCTCAGTATCCACTGCTGTAGTTCCCAGACTTGTGAATGGGAAGAGCTCATTGATGCTGTGTGCATCTTCTCGGACTTGCTAAGGATGTCCCTTCTAGTGTCCCTACAGTGTACAATGACTCTCAAGGACTCTTCTTCTCCCTTCTTTCCAAGGTACTATTTCGTTTTAGAGAAAGGCAGGACCTCTGCACCGTTCACTGTGAGAGTGACTCCGTGCGATGTCCCCATTGAGTGGAGCATCCGGGTCCATAAGACTTCAGCAAACTACCTTGGGAAAGCAGCACGTGGTAAGAGATGCATGCAAGGCCATGGATTAGGAGGGTCATCAATGTTAGCTAGCCATTCATAATGGTTGATTCATCCCTCGGCTCTATTTTTCCTTCCTGACAGCAGAAAAAAATATTGGTATATTTGTCCCAAGTGAATCTCCACCCCACCCCCCATCTCTCCCACTTTCTCATTCGTCACTCTCATCGTCTCTCCTATGGGTACTGCTATGTGTACTCAGTCTTTGAGCTCTTTGCTCTCCTACTTTCAAGGCTCGCCGGGTTCTGGGAGGGGGAGTATGGAATGCTTTCTAAAGACACTGTGTCCATCAGCTGTCCTCCCCTTGGTGTTTATTTTTTCTCCTCCTCCCCCTCCTCCTCCTTTTCTCCCATTATTTCTCAACTTTCCCCCTTATCTGCCTCTGAAATGTGACCTCCCTCAAACCCCTGTTGTAAATCTAAACTGCCTTCCTCTTCCTCCTCCCTGGAAGGGTCAAGCTGGGGAGGCGGTCTCCACCATTCCTCCTCTGCCCAGTCCCTGACACCCAGAAGGGAACAAGGCCTTCAGTCTGAAAAATGTTCTCCAAACCTAGCTGAACATTTCTGCCCATCCCCCAAAGAAGCGTGACTTAAAATATTTTTGCATTTCCATATGTCATTGACAGATGATTTGGACGTTCAGGAAGCCTTAAAGTTTCCAAAGACCATGAAGACCGTGTCTACTCTCTTCAGCTACAGAGGCAATTCTGTGGAGACATACATGGGGATATCTTACTATTCCGCTGTCTACGTGCTGGAATTCCTGTCCATTGAAAGAGACACCCAAATCACGGTGTATCTAACGACAGACACAACTTCTGAGCACCTGTATCCAGAACTCCCAACGGATCCACGCATAGATGTCGTCGGCATTGGCCACACCACAGTAACCCTGGCTTGGAAGCAGAGTTCAACAGCCCTGCAGCACAAAGAAAATGTCCAGTATTGTCTTCTGGTAAATGAAAGGCATAACTACAAGAGTTTATGCGCAGCAGAAACAGCCCTAAGACCTTCTGGAGTAACGTCGCAGCAAGCATTAGCGCTCTCACTGTCTCCGTATGTCCTGGACCCTCAGCAAGTGATGATCACGCCCAATGGCGAACTGAGCCTTGTTAGCAAAGCTGGCAATGGGGAGGTGAGGCAGATATGTGTTGGCACCAAGAAGACCTACACAGTCACCAACCTGAGACCCAGCACTCAGTATTACTTTGATGTGTTTGTGGTCAACTTCCTCACCAACGCCAGCGCTGCCTACACTGGAACCTTTGCCCGAACCCTCGAGGAACCGGAGCCCAAAGTCACCATCCTAAAGGATGGGAAGGTGATTCAACTCGCCCTGGATGGGAGGAAGCAAGCTCTCCATGATCTGCAGTACCAGGCTGTGCAAAAGCAGGTTCAGTTTGCCTTTCAGTCTTGCAGTGGCCAAATACGGGTCGAGATAGCCAGAGGTGGGAAAGTGCTCATGTCAGAGAGCTTTGCCGGCTTGAGGCACTTCATGCTGAAGGGAAGGCCGGGAGACCTTTACCTGGTGCACTTGGGTTCCACAGAACCTTCAAACGCATCTGTGAAGGTACAGGTGTCCTCTCTCTTCCACAGGCCTTTCTTCCCAGTTTTGCCAGAGAGTTTGAAAATCAAGTCATTCAGCAAGCTGAGGACTTGCAATTCGGTCACCATCGCCTGGCTGGGCACACAGCAGATGAGCAAGTACTGCGTCTACAAGAAACAGATCGAGGAGGACCAGGTGTGGATGGAAACCAGGAACGCCGACAGGTGCTCAGGGCCAGAGTCAAGGCAAAAAGGTGACAAAGTGCTATGCAAATACTTCCATGATCTCAATCTCCGGCGAGCCGTGACGACCGAAACCATCAGCGGGCTTGAAGCAGGCACAGTCTACTTATTCGATGTTTACCTCATTGGGCCTTCTGGGATTCCTGTCAGATATTACAGTAAAGTGGTAAAGACGCGGAAGAAATGTTGAAGTTCTCCTTCAAAGATGGGTTCCTGAGGAATGACAAAGTTGGAGGAATTCCATGCACGGGCAGCATTTGTGACCCACGCCACTCAAAACGTGCTCGGAGTGGGACAGAAAACAGTGTTTTACGTTGCAAGATTTGAGAGGTGGAATCTCTGTGTAGAAAAGTAGACTTGCTCCCAGGACCTTTCCCCCTGCAATTCTATCTCGCTCTTATCTGCAATTTCATTGAAAGGGCTTAAAACAGAAGGGTGGTATCCAACTAACTTTTACTCAGAGCAGACCCACTGAAATTAGCATGTCTAACTCGGCCGTGTTCATTCTGTCATGCTCTGGAACACAGGAAGCTTCCTTATCCCAAGTCAGACCACTGTCCTATCAAGCTCAGTACTGTCTACACTGATTGGTGGCAGTTTTCTAGGGTTTCAGACAGCCCTATCTGGAGAAGCCTGGGACCTTCTGCATGCAAAGCAGATGCTCTAATATTGAGCTACAGTCCAGACTACAGAGGCTGCTTCCTCATGGCTAAATTCCATGCAGTAGCAGTGCAATAGATAGGCCCGCTATCTGGCTGTTCTCCCAGAGAGGGGCACAGAAAGGGTAAATCTCAGTAGAACACCATCCAAAGCATTTATCTTCGAAACCTACAAAATCCAAAACTGGCGTGATGGAGAGGATAATTTTAATGGACCTAAAGCAAACATACTTTGTAAGATATCTCTCCAATGAGAATTCAGTTCCCGGAATCCACTCCCTCTGCCTTTGGCAAAGTGCAGGTAACCTCAGCAGAGTCTGAGAGGAATATTGCAGTGCAGACTGAAAAAGTGACCCACAAGAACTTCGCCTCGCTGTCTGACAGTTGGGTATTCAGTGGGGATGAACGGTTACTCCTTTTTCCACTGTAGTAGTTTCTAATTTAGCCCATACATAGAGCTTGGGAGAGCTAAAGGAAAGAAGGATGGTTTAAATTCAGCCAATTCCGTTACTACTCCATCTTGCAGGGACAAACCGTGGGGGTTTCTGTACCCCATAGCTCCCATGTTGTGAGGCACCCACACCCACACCCCAATGTGGGTCTCATAATGCATTGGCTGTCCAGTGATTTGCAAGGCTGAATATACCTAGAATCATGTGCCAACAGCCCTATTCAGACATTGCTCCTTCAGAAGTTTCCCATTCCGTGGGTGAGGAGACATTAAGGAGAGATTAATGTCAGCCGTGGGAAGCCAGCTCTTCTCATGGAGTCTCGCTGTGTAATGAAGAACTCTACTTGCACAGGGTTCTGAATGGAGTAGGGCTGGCTCCCTGCTGCAGATATTTCACCTCAAAGCATGGAGACTCTAGGGGCCAGACCATCAGGAATGTGTTGGGGAGGGTGGAGCCAGCAAGCACCCACTTGCTTACCACTTTTTTGCAATGAGAAATGTGTGAGCAAGAGAACCTAGGCCTAAAGAAACAAAGGTCTAAAGAATAGTGGTGACAGATAAACAAAGGAATAGGCAAACAGATCTATAAACTTTCCCAAAAGGGTTTATAGAAGATCCCCATAGCATAATACTTCCCAGTTAGAGAAAATGCCATTTCCTTAGCCGAACCAGCGATTGATCTGCTAACCATGTCACTTTTTGGATTTGAGATATTTGAATTAAAAGAATTCAAATTCAGGGCTGGCAATGGGAAATAATTTGATGGGTCCGGATGTTTTCTGGAGTTGAGATCTGGAGTACCAAGATGGGTTAGAGACATTATTAACCCGGATCAGTGACACACAGCATGTTTATGCATTACCGACTTAAATCACCGCTAGGGCATTCTTGTTCTCAACTTATTTTGAAGCACGTTTGACTATTTCATAAGAAACAACAGGATAGATATGGATTGTGGCTGATGTTGTGTGTATACCGCTTCTCAAACCAGTGGTGGGAGCAGTCCTGGCAGTCCCATTGCCTGCAGATATCGGAATCCAGCATCTAAACTTGTGTTTTCCAGATTTGGGTAGCATTTCTCTGCATTACACTAACTGATGAGGCAGATTAGCTTTCTGCCGACACGTCCTTCCAAAACACACACCAAAGTAGAAATAAATTGGGAGAGAGGGTAGAGTTCACTCTTTCCTTAAACAATTGCTGGTGCTTTCTGAGGGAGGTCTTGGCAGGTATCACAGTATGAGAACTCTATTTCTATTACAGTTAAGACCTAAAAGCCACAAACCTTTGTTCTCTAAGTCTTCTGATCTCATACACTCTGAGCCTCATAAACAGCAGGTTAGGGAACTGGTCCAATCTCAACTGTCTCCATTTTGAAAGTTCATCACCTCCTGCCCCAGCCCAAACACTCACCTGTATAGAATTCCTGGTGATCTTTACCTACCCGGCTAGTGCTTAAATGCAAGGCTAGGCTAGCATGCTTATATCTACATTTTAAACCTTGTTTTTATTTAAAAGAAAATATCAACCTACATTTGATTTAAAAATAAAAACAGAAACCTGGTTTTTATTTTTTTAATTGTCAACTTTCATTCACTCAGTTCCTTTGTATTCTCATCTCTCGTGTTTATAATGGAATAAGCTGTATCTTGCACTTGACTCATTGAAAGACTACTTTGCTTTTCCACTGTGCCACTCTTCTTTAGTAATTCAGTAGTCTGAGTAGAACATGTCAGTAGTAAACAGTTATGGACAACTGTTGTTTATAGTTTGTTTTTTGAAGTCATGGCTCCTGAACATGGTTGTTGCTTTTTAGTAAAAGTGAAAAATGTTGGGAAGGGAAGTGAGTGGCAGGAACTGGGCAGAGGATGAATGGTGGAGACCACCTCCCCAGCCTGACCCTTCCAGGGAGGAGGAAGAGGAAGGCAGTATAGATTTCCAACAGGGGGTTGAGGGAGGTCACAGCTCAGAGGCAGATGAGGGGGAAAGTTGGGAAATCATGGGAGAGGAGGAGGCAGAACCGGAGCGGCAGCTGGCTTACACAGTGTATTAGAAAGCATCCCAGACCTTCCATCTCCCAGAACCTGGCGAGCCTTAAAAATAGGAGAGCAAAGAGCTCAAAGACAGAGGGTATGTAGCAGCACCCATACGAATGAGGAAGTGGGAGAGTCGGGGAGTGGGGTGGAGATTCACTCAGGACAAATGCCATTATCCAAGAGCCTCTCTCTGTAAATATTGAAATAAAAAAGGACGGTAAGAAACTTTTCCTTGTCTTTGTATGTTCCTGGGCAACCATCCGGGAGCCGCTGACAGCATCCTGACAGAGAGGGGGGGAGAGATCAGTCTTGTGTTTAACTACTTGCCTGATATTCATAGGAGATCAGGAATTCCATATAGGGAGTGATCAGGGTGAGAGAAGAGGAATGGATGTCTCATCTCCCCCCCCCCTCCTCCAACCAGCTTGGTTTCCAAGTTGGCTGCAAAAAATAAAAAGGAAAGTCTCTTCCCTCATAGCAGGGAGGGACTGTTAAAAATATTGGCTTTCAACAGATGGGTTGGACACACTACTGGGTCACAACCTGATCTAAGTTGAGGGACAGCAGCAGCCAGGACTGGCTCGACTATGAGGCGATGTGAGGTGGTCACCTCAGGCAGTAGATCTGGGCTTGAGGAGTATGATACTCACCACTGATACCATGCCTCCACTCCCACTCTGCTGCTGTGGGCAACCACTACTGCCACCGCTACAAGTGCACCACACCCCTGCCATGGGAGCATCCCTGCAGCCTCCCCAGGTGCTCATGCATTGATCAAAGCTCCAGGTCTCTCCCGGTCCTGCTTGGAAATCCTAGGGGTTGAAGCTGGGGCCTTCTGCATTGCTCTAGCGCTGAGTAATGTCCCTTAGGTCTAACTCCTCCCAGGCAGGCTTTTTCCAATCAGGAATGTTTACTGGAAAGAAAAAATGCCCACATAATCTTTGGCCATCTCTCAGCCATAAGGCAAGCTCCAAACCTCTAAAGAGAGGAGACAGAAAAATTGAAACCTCTTTCTTGGGGGAAGAAAACTTTTGCCATCTGAAGGGTATATTTCAGTACAGCACTAATTTCAGAGATCCTTTGTGCTAGTGCCACTTTGCAGGGGCATTAAGGAAGGGTGCACATCGCCAAGGGCTGCAGAGGTGAAGGTCACACAATGATCGGAAATAGCCAGATGAATCTTTTGGCTGTGTGTCTCTCACTTATATTGCATTGGCATGGCAAACCTGAAAGAAAAATAGACTTGAAAAACAGCTCAGAAGCTGAACGGAGCCCATACACAAAATTGACTGTCTTTATGAGTGTTAGGAGACAGGAGGCAGATGTCCAAATCCTTTTGGGCCTGATCTGGCATTTTAGAGAGTTCCTTTCCAATTGTTTTCAGATCATCATGCTTCTTAGTAGCCTGAGAGAATAGCAATTGCTGTCTTGGAGTGCACAGATTTTGCCTCAGCGCAGTGATTAAATTGAATTATATGTACTGATATATTTTTTTTGTTCAAGGAAGAATGTCAGACCCAGTCAGTATGATGAACTGTCAGAACAGGAACTCATTCCCAAAAGCTCAGCGGCCAATCTTCAGATGTTATTCTGTGGCTTAATATTTTGAACGTGGAGGCTGCCTCCAGAACAATTTGACACCAGGCTTTGTTGATTCTTTGGAAATTTCTTCTGAAGGATAACCTCTTTGCTGGACTCTTATGCAAAAGGTTGCTCCCGTTGCAGCTGGAACAGGAACAAAATGGATCTCAGAGTTTGGGGTTAATGGAGACACATAACATAATCATTAGGAAGGGAAGGGGGGCACTGTTCTAGCGGCATGTCCATAGCAAATGTAATATGAGCCATGGCCTTGGAACGCGATAAAGTACGGTTGTCAATCAAAGGCACCATCTTGTGCCCAAGATTTGAGGGGCGCAAGTGTGTGCGTCACATGTGTGTGATGTCATGGTGACAATGCACAACGTGCATTGCAAGCACAACACCACATCATTGGGATGAGACTGAGAGCAGTACCTAATACAGCGCAGATTCTTCTCTCATGCTCAGGAAGAGCCAGCCACTGAACCACACCACATTTGGCTCCAAATTCAGCCTCCTCTGCCCTCTCAATATTGATCATAATATAATAATTTAATAAGAATTTATTATTTCTACCCCGCCCATCTGGCTGGGTTTCCCCAGCCGCTCTGGGTGGCTTTCAACAGAACCGTAAAAACAGAATAAAACTTCAAACATTAAAAACTTCCCCAACCAGGGCTGCCTTCAGATGTCTTCTAAAAGTCAGATAGGTGTATCATTTGCCCGATAACAAATGTTGGAAATGTAAGGTATGTATGCAACAACAGCAGCTAGAATACTTATTGCAAAGCATTGGAAGACACAAGATTTACCCACTCTGGAAGAATGGCAGATGAAAGTAATAGACTATATGGCGCTGGCAGAAATGACTGACAGAATTCGAGACCAGGGAAGAGAGACGGCGAGAGAAGATTGGAAGAAATTTAAAGAATACCTTAAGAAATACTGTAAAATTACGGAATGTTGAAACGATGTTGACTTTGAAATTAAGTGGTTGTTAGCTGTAATGATTAAGAAAAAGGGAAGAAATGTGAAGATTTAAATAAAGCAAAGGAGAGGATTTGCTGAAAATATCAATAGAAACTGGAATACAGTAAGGGAAGGTATGAGGAGGTCGGGGAAGTAAGGTTAAGAAAAAAAAGGGAAATGAACTTATACTTGTTCTTTCTTTTTGTATGTTTTTTCTTTGTTTGTTTTTTTATGTTTGTCCTTATGATTTTTACAACTTTTGAAAATTTAATAAAATTTCTTAAAAAAATAAAAAAAAGTCAGATAGGTGTTTATTTCCTTCACATCTGATGGGAGGGCATTCCACAGGGCAGGTGCCACTACCTAGAAGGCCCTCTGCCTGGTTCTCCATAACCTCACTTCTCACAGGGAGGGAAGCACCAGAAGGTCTTTGGAGCTGGACCTCAGTGTCCAGGCTGCATGATGGGGATGGAGATGCTCCTTCAGGTATACTGAGCCGAGGTTATTTAGGGCTTTAAAGGTCAGCACCAACACTTTGAATTGTGCTCGGAAACGTATTGAGGGGGCCCGGTCACCTGAGAGCAGATATTGAGGTCACACCTGCACAAACCTTTATATGCAACTGCTTGAAATATCGTTGAAATATCAGGATGTATGTTAAAGTTCATTTTCAAGACAGAATTAGTGTCACATTGTGCTCAGAAGGAAGTCCTATGGCATTCAAGAGGGCTCACTCCCACCATTTTAAATGGATAGAGGTTGGGTTGCAACCTGTTATTGTAAACTCTGAGATGTTTGGAGCAGAGAAATCAAAAAGCAGCATATATAAAGTGGGGAATGGGATGCATATGTTGTGTGTGTCTCCGTGTTCTACGGCTGCTGCACACACGAGAAAAGATTAAATAAGCCATTTTAAGTGGAAATATATTTTGCCACATTCTGCACACCTCTTTGCATAGCCCGATATTTCAGTGAAGTTCAGTTCTGCAGACCTAATACCAGTGAAGAATGTTGTCTAGGAAATATAAATTAATACTTAGGACCAGTAGAGGGCAGAGCAATATTAGGAAAGTGAAGAAAGCATGACTGTTTTGGTTTATGGAGAAACAGAAGGGATTCAGTCAACTCCAAATAAGTCTATTAAGGTACATATAATCAGTATCCAATTAAAATCTTCACTGATTGTATACAACCCAGAAAAATCTTACAGCAGGCCCACTCCCAGCTAGTACTGTAGAGAAATATTGTTCGAGAAATAGTGTGGTCCCGAGATGGCGAGGGTTCAAATCCCACTTCTACTGTAGGCTCATTGTTTGCCTTTGTCTCTCATTCTCAGCCCACCATCTGTGAAATGGGACTAAATTGCTTGTTCGACAGGGTTGCTGTGATGGCAAAGGCTTTGGGTTGGATCTAGATTCAGTCATGACTAAACCAGTCACGGTTTGAAGGCCCATAATATGATTACCTGGCGAAAAACTAAATGGATGTGGGTGTGCTCACTCCCTGGGTGGTTCCATGTATGCTGCCTTGGGTTCCAAGAAGGAAGCCAGTCAGTGTATAGATGTAAGCCAGCCCTCCCCAACCTGGTGCCTTCCAGATATTTTGGACTCCCGTTAGCCCCAGCCAGCATGGCCAATGGTCAGAGATGATGGAGTCCAGCAGGAGAGGCTGGTCTACTAGGGCGAGTAGAGCAGTGCCCTGCCAAGTGTAGTCTGCCCCCAGCCAGCCCTCACCTGCCTATCTCCTTCCTTGCTTCCTAAATTTTACTCAGAGCAGACACAGTGAAATGAATGGCTGTGACTAAGTTAGAGCCATTAATTTCGGAGGGCTTTGTCTGGGTAAACCTCGCAACTAATTTAGCGGGTGGCCCTGGCTGTCATGGTCCTCCTCCTTATTCTCCCTTGTAGAACTCAGCAGGGAGAAGGGCTGCACCAGAACTAGTTGGCTCTGCCGATCATTTGCTCTGGCACATAGCTGTCAACTT